CCAAAAATTGCTTGCGTGTTTGCCACCTGTAAACTAGCTGCAACATGGGTAGAGCGTACCTTTGTACTAATCCGTACTGTTTGCTTCCCACTTGCTCAGGTAGATCTACCGTCAACACTACCTCGCTATTGCTGACCTCACCGGCCAGGCTAATGGCAATGTCAGCCGCATCGCTACTACCGACTGCAATCACCTCGCTACTACCGACTGCAGCCGCCTCGCTACTACCGACTGCAGATGCCTCGCTACTATCGACTGCAGCCACCTCGCTACTACCGACTGCAGCCGCCTTGCCACTACCGACTGCAGCCGCCTCGCTACTACCGACTGCAGACGCCTCGCTACTACCGTCTGCAGCCGCCTCGCTACTATCGTCTGCAGCCGCCTCGCTACTATCGTCTGCAGCCGCCTCGCTACTACCGACGGCAGCCGCCTCGCCACTACCGACTGCAGCCGCCTCGCTACTAGCGACTGCAGCCGCCTCGCTACTACCGACTGCAGATGCCTCGCTACTACCGACTGCAGCCGCCTCGCTACTACCGACTGCAGCCGCCTCGCTACTATCGACTGCAGCCGCCTCGCTACTACCGACGGCAGCCGCCTCGCCACTACCGACTGCAGCCGCCTCGCTACTACGGACTGCAGCTGCCTCGCTACTAATGATGTCGGCCGCCTCGCTACTACCGGTGATATCCACCTCACCACCACTGATGTTGATCGTGGTGCTGCTATATGCCAGAAGTGGCTACCACCGTCTTCTGATGTGCAGCTCCGTCACATTGGCTGCGCTATCGCTACAAGCGAGGGCAACCACGATCTACCTGCAGCCAAATGTTCATCAAGGTAAATACCGTTGTGACCACGTTCTGTGCATTTCAAGTACACTCATACCTCGTTTATCCGGGCGGTCCGGGACCGGGCAATACCAGTAACTTTGAAATGTCCGTAACTCCGCATCACCTACATTTTAAAAGACCATAGATGGCACGTGTCGTCACTATTTCCACAAAAAGTGACAGAAGAGTAGTAATATTTCAACTGAAACTCGCCCCAAGGGCGCCCGGTAGACCTAAGTGTCCGTAACTTAGGGGTTCAGATAACCGAGGTATGACTGCGTACTGCTTGTGGTTGCCAGTGATGTATCGTAGGTGGAAATTTGTTGTAAAATGTTGTGCTGCACTGGGTCACACTGAAGTATGTCCTTCCAGGATTTGGTTGGCCCACCTAGTACCAAGCCAGAGTCTATTTGTTTAGCCCCACCCTCCGATTATGATCCGGGTTGAGCAGAAACTACACTAGGCTCGGGATTATAGGAACCTGGTCGTCCCTACAGACTTCGATGGGCTGGATCATTGTATTATTGTTACCCTAGCCGGGTGTGTGCTATTTTTATGGAATTCAAATTGCCCCCCCCCCCCCCCCCCCCCACCTTTTCAAGCTAGCGAATGGGGAATGCTGCATTCGTAGAGTGGAAAGTTTTGCAGGCTCTCGTTTCCCATTTCATTTCAGAAAAATACTAGTGTCGTGGGACCCTCCCAAGTCACTGCAGGCTTCTTGCACAAATTTCTCTGGGGCTGAAGGCGGGTCTGATTCTGAAGTTTTGGAGAGTGGAAAATCCCACGGTATTTTCAAGATCCTTCCCCGGAGATTTGTTGTGATGGCATACATGGACTAGATAGGCTAGATTGGATTCATGTCCGCACTGTCATGTTTCGCATGGATGGAATATTTAATATTGTCTTCAGTTTCCTTGAATCGATCATATGATACAGGATACTCGGCTCGACATCAATGAAGGACCGGCATTGTCATGGAGTCGCCAGCAGCTTGCCCTGCCCTCCCTTTTATACTATTATTTCAATTTTATCAAGGAATCAGCAGTGAGCAAGGATAGTTGAGCCGCGAATCATGACCGTTTCCCGAGTGGGATTTCGGAGTTTTTGCAGAATTTCTTTATAATGGCCAATTGGACTTGTCTCATTGCTGATCCAAAATTGGAACGGAACACCTGTCATTGGGGAGGGAACCAAAATTCAGTTTGAAATTATAAACTACAAAATAGCATACTGGATACTCAGCAGCATGGGGGGGGGGGCAAACCAGGGAAAATCAAGGTGAAACTCCAAAATTTGCGAAAAGTGCAAAAAAGCAACTGACCTATGCCCAAATTTTTCAGGTTGGCGGCCATTTTGATTTCTGTATGCTGTGTATAAGCCTGATTTAAATGTATGAGCCCCATTGAAATGTATGAGAGCTATTCAAAACATGTGGATCTTATTCAAAATGAATGGGGCCTACTCATTATGTGTCCAGTCAAAGTGTGCAGCCCTATTTGAATGTATGAGTCCTATTGGAAATATGTGGACCCCATTTAAATATATGGTCCTAGGTCAAAATGTATGAGCCCCATTGAAAGTGCATGGGCCGCAGTCAAATTAATGGTGCATGCCAATTGGCATCATTCAAAATGTATGGGCCTCAATCAAAAAGTATAGCCCCTGCAAATCCACTTTTATGTTCATGTATCTATGTCATTCGGATCTTCCCAAGTTGTACATTGTACTGTTGAGATACCGAATTCAAATAAATCAATACCAAATCTGAATGAGCCCTATTTGAATACTGTAGAACGACTGATTTTAGTGGGTATACATTGAAACGTTTTCTGAACCAGGATCAATCACGATGACATATTTCACCCTGCTGTCCGGCATGCCCTTTTCAAAAATGCATGGTCTTCTCGTACATCATGTGTATTGAATTTTAAAGAAATGTTCCACACGCTGAATATTTCATACGCTACACAAACACAGATTTCTGAACAGTTGAGAGTTGACAGGGTGCAGAAGTACCTGGGCAGTGATTTAATAGCGAGATGCGAAATGTAACCCCATCCCCGGAGTATCACGTATACAGTCCTGTATGGAAATTACACCCAATGAGGGTGTGCACCGTGTTCAGAACTTAGCTCTTGGGTACATCACTGCACAACTTGAAATTTTGAAATGACCCAGTAGCGTTTGAACTGAACGCAGCAGGGAATCGTGCATTTTCCACCATTGCATGGAACGTCCGCACTATCAGGCTAAAATGTGTCAAATGCGCATGTATAGCACACAATGAACACCCAACCTGGTATGTACACACCTATGACCTGTACATCTGTACAGCGTGCGTAAAGTCTATGCATGTAGAGGATATAACCCGAGTCAGAGGGTTACACCGGCTGGATATAAATCCCGACTGCGATAGCAAGAGGGATTTATAATTATGAGGGTACAGTATAACCCGACTACGAGGGTCCTATCCTACTTATGGCAGGTACCCCTAGGCATTTCCAGAACAAGGAACCTATTTGGAGATCTCCTACATGATGCAGTATACATGTATGAACATGTTCTGCTGGTTATCAGTTGTCAATAATTGAAAGAATGGTCGAGCAAGATCAGAAGGAGATTCCTCCGTGGATGTTTGGCATAAGATTTCCTTTCAGTTCCAGTGCATATTGTAGGATCTTGTCTCGTGAGCGGTTCGGAAGCCTACTGAATGGCTGCGGTGCTGGAGTTGACGTTGAATCAAACAAACCGTCACTAGTTTTTAGACTACAGTTCGTCTCTTTGGGAGTAAGTGTTACTATAATAATGGTACAGTGCTGATTTCACATGCAGCATCTTGTGATCAGTTTCGCTTACTTGCAACTACTTCAAGTACTTGAAGTAGATGTTACACATCGACAGTGCAGGTGGTGCTGCCAAATAAGTGGGTTTGCCCCAAATCTGGCACAACCTTGACTACAGAACCCAGACTGTTCCATGTGTGTACACAAGCGCTACATGCAGTGCAAATGTCAAAAGTGGAAAGGTCCCCATTTCCAAGACCCTGCTCCTCTTTACACGAGGTCAATCCACTGTATCACTCACCGTACATGTAGATAACTGACCAATCGTCAGCTCCAAATACTGAAGTATACCATTGTAAAAAATTCGAAAAAGGACAATATCACAGGTGGGGCTAGGAAGTAAGAGAGCAAAGACAATAAATACTATGAAATAGTGCAACATGCGGGATTTTCCCTACACTCACAATATCTGTAGGCGGGTGAAACCGCTGCGCATGAAAAAGGGCAAGAGTAAAGTAGTAGAAAGTGCATGAAGGCATGCATGATAGATGATAAGAAAACCAGCACACCGCCAACAATGCAAAGAGAGCTGTTGTGCTGCTGCAGTGGTACCGGGGCTGCTGAGCGGTGGCAAAAAAGCTGCCCATAGGCGGATAGAGTGAGATGATGTGAGCACGTCATTGTACACTGTGGCACAGTTGTAAGTGCTGCTGCTATTGCTACCCAGCTAGAACAATACTATAAAACAAAGCATATGGAGAGGGGAAGAAACACACTGCAACCAATAGAAAATATAATTAACAAATTTGGCTATGTAATGTAAACCAGTCTCTCTGTGCATGTCCTGTATCTAACGTAAAGCTTCGTTAAAGTCATAGAATAGATTTCTTGCTGTGATGGTACCTAATACAAGTGCACGACGGTGTCACGTGCACAATGTTGTACGTCCACTAGATACAACAAGCAGGATATGAAGTGTGTGTCTCAGAATAATCAACGTTACAAGCGACTTGTGATACTGCCGCGTACTAGTATGCAGATTGTCAGTAGACTTCTCAGAGCACGAGCCAATCGAACACTTCACAACGCACACAAGAACTGCAGGGTGGTATTGTTGCAAGTGCACAGAGAGAGTATTGCCCAATGACATGGGCCAACACTCGATCAGTGCATGACCATACTGTGAGCAAACTGACATGTCTCCGACCAGCCAGCCACAGCCAGTCATATACAACCAGTCATACACAACCAGTCGTACACAGCCAGGCATACACAGCCAGCCATACACAACTAACTATCTCCAGCCAGCCAGACAGTCGTAAACAGCATTGAATTCCGTTGTCAACATTGTCGTCTAACACTCACACCCACAATCAATCTGCGCAGAGCCATCAACAGTTATCGTCGCAACATTGACTAACAAGACGATCATGACGATGAGGAGCCAGTCACAAACACGTCAACGACGACGCAGAGGATAACACTCCATGTCAGCAAGACACTGCAATGACAACCGCAACGACTACGCCAAAGACAACAGGAGGATCTGCTGTCTTTGATGACACATGGGACCATGTGTGTGTATGTGTTGTCCATAGGGCACAGCTACCAAGTCAGTCTCAACAATGGTGCTGTGTGGTGCATACACATCCGTACTGCTAGCCTGATCAAGTAGTGAATAGCCTGCAATTACATGTCTCCATTCATACTGACGGCAGCAACGTGAAGACGTATATATTCGCCACAGTGCTGCGAATAATGAAACCGGACAGCCTCTGCAGCCGATGAATAAAATGTGTACTGCACCCTAGCAGATTGCTGGATAGAAGCAGCTGATGATGACCACAAGCACAAGAGCATAAACAGGCACACATACACACGGACGGACATGGTGATGGCACTTGCTCCGGGTTTTCGGCAGAGAATGCACCCAAGAATTTTCGTTCATCGGCCAGCCTTGATATCAGCACGATATGCCACCGTCTTGCTTGCTGTAAGCCATCATAAACAATAACAAAAATATACCCAAGTTAAGAGAGAAGAGAAGAGAAGAGCGAGAGAGAGAGAGAGAGAGAGAGAGAGAGAGAGAGAGAGAGAGAGAGAGAGAGAGAGAGAGAGAGAGAGAGAGAGAGAGAGACCCCTCTTCCAAGTCCATGCACACAACCAAGGAAACAGAAGATAACAGCATGTACTGCAGTACATGCTGTTATCTTCAACTCCACTTATAACGAACTCGCATATAGCGAATTTCGTGCCCTTGTCCATGTTCCTGTTTGAACCCATACAAAATTGACCCTTTAAAGCGAAAGGTTCTGTTTATAACAAACCAAATCATGTAGGTCTGTACCGTAGTGACGCACATAAAGGCACATGCGCTTATGAGCGAGTTTTTGCGTTATTTGCTATTTTTTGTGTGTCGTTTTGTCTCACACATAGGCGCATGCGCTTGAGTTGCTAGGGTCCTGGTACCTTGCACAATAATTATTATGCACATAGTGCAATACCGCAATGCACATCGAACTATGTGAACATGGTGTTTTTGTGGTGTCTGTGTGTCGCAGAAGGAATTGCATTTAGGTTTACTTATAAGCCCATGCGCTTATTTGCGAGGGTGCGCTTATGCCCGGGTGTAGGCACATGCGCTTATATGCGCGTCACTGCTGTCTGTAAACCAAGTGCACTCGTACTATACTGTCATGGGCCACTTGCCAGTCATGCCTTGCTGCTTGTGTGAGTGCATTTCTGTTATAACTAACTTGCGCTATAAAAAGAACAAATTATCATGCACAATGACGTTAGCTATATCAGGTGTCGACTGCATGCGGTGTGGGTTATGCTACGTAAAAGTAGCAACAGCTGCAAACATACCGTTGAGCATATCATCCATGAAGCTAGAAGAATTTCCAGGACGATCTCGTGCAACCTGTGAACGTAATACCATACACACATATGCACGCATACACACAGACACATACGTACACACACACACACACGCACACACACACACACACAGGCAATACACACACACATACAGGCACATACACACACGCACACACACGACACACGCATACACCATATTTGTCCTTCATACCTAAAACTGCGAACACGCAAAGTTTCTGCAGTTGGAGAAACCTGAGAAGGGCAAACTCCGAAACTCTTCAGTACATGTATGCTCCTCTGCAGCGAATCATGCACAATCCACACGCTAAGCCAGCCGCACCACCACCGTCTTCATGGTCGGGAAAAAAGAGCAGGGCCGTCGGCTTGGAATGTATAGAGGGTGTTGAGAAATTATTCTGAAAGAATCCTTGACGAAATAGTACAACAAAATAGGGTCGGTTCATTTGAGGACATTCTGATCGGTTGGATTGGTGATTTGCGTATAGGATGTGCGTGCATGTGTGTGTGTATATGTGTGTGTGTGTGTGTGTGTGTGTGTGTGTGTGTGTGTGTGTGTGTGCATGCATGTGTGCGTGTGTTTGACAGTTCTGGTGCTCAAGGTACATCATGCTCACAGAGTCCAACATGATAGACTTACCGGTTTGGACATTGGTGACATTCCCTTCTTGAGCACCTCGTTCAGCTTTTCAGCCTGCAGGGGCAAATGTCACATGAACACAAATGCATGCATGCATACACAAACACATACACATTGGCACACGCCACTGGCACACGGACACACAGACATATACACGCAAATACATGTGCATATACACACAGACACAGACATATATTATATATAATGCACAAGCAAAGACATAAACTGAGCCAGTTGGCAGAGACAGCGCCCGGCCCACCAGCAACAAGGTGTTGCGTCTTCATCAGGATACTTGAAATGCTCCTTGTGTGCGTGTGTGTATGTTTGTACACACAACGTGACGGCATACAAGGAAAAATCTGCGTATACCATGAAGTAGGAAACCTAGTAGACCACTGTGCCATGGCCTTTTACGGTGGCTGCATTCGATTACGCACTTGAATCGATTCATGAATGGCATCTCGCCGTTCAATTTCATGTCATGAGCCCTGGAATCGATTCGGAATCCATTCATCCTATTCACATGGGTTGATGTGAATAGCTCAAATCGATTCCTGAATGGATTCGCCTGCATAATCAGGTGTGTGCGTGTGTGTGCTCACGCACTGGAGTGCAAGCGTACACACAAAGTACCCGTGGTAGCACAGTTGTGCTCGATGAAATCCGGCCCAGAGTGCATATTCGGCACCCTCAACCAGCACGCCCTGGAAGTGGCACGTACGCAGCTGGACGTACACATGTACAATACAATAATGAAATCGAAACTAGTCCAGGGTGCCAGCGTAGCACTTCAGGTAAACTAGTCCAGGGTGCCAGCGTAGCACTTCAGGTCGGGTTTCACCGAGCGCAGCTGTATATGTACTGACCGTTGCGTTGTGTGCCCTGATCACATCCTTCTTCTTGGCTGCCTCTTCAGCCTTCTTTTGGGATTGCTCATTCTCTTTCTTTGCAGTCTGCCATATGAACACAAGCACACATGAACACAAGAACACACGCACGCACACACACACACACTTGCATTGAATCATGTACAGTCGTGTACCATCATTAAATGCTTGCCAGGGAATGACTGCAGTGCCAAATACATTACACAAACAAACTGTCTTCTGGCAGGTGAATGGGGATTACATCATTTTCACCAAACTACCATCATGATCAGGGACGATTAGCAATGCGAAAGTTGGAAAGAAAGTTCGAGTCTGGGAATGAGTACAGAAACAAAGGTCGAAACTTCGAAAACTTGAACGCGAAGTTGCAGTGGCTTGCAAAAGTTATTCTCTCTTTCCTCAGTACGCACTTGACGGCTGGGAGTAGTAAATGTACAGCCTCCGGCTTGAGACTGAGCTGCATATTCGGTACGGTACTATAGAATTCAAATAACTTCAAGAAAAAGTCATTTCGCAGTGCTAAACCTCACAAGGTTTCCTTTTTCGAAATAAAGTTTCGCGAAATATCACTCCCACCAAAAGTTCGAACTTTCGCGATGCTAAACGTCCCTACTATCATCATCACATGACCCTGACTCCGGCATGGCGACGAAGAGGCAGACTAGCAGTTACCACGCCAGTCATCTCATGCTTCTATGTTCAACACTTAGCAAAGAAGGCAGTTTTTGACCAATCCAGTTACAAAACATTGTCCAACCAAGCAAGACGAGGGAGGCCACGAGCATATCCACTCTGAACACAGCTGCCTTGCAACCAAGTGACTGGGACAAAACTTCAGGAATTTCATCCCAGCAGATCCCATACAGCAGATGCACGTTCTGTTGTTCACATCTTCTATCCAGTGATAATACTTAATAGAGGTTTCGCTCCTCGTAATTACGCATGAAAATCCGTATGTCATACACTCCAGGGAGCGAGGGAAACATTCACACGTTAATCTCTCTACGGATTTCCGTAGAAAAGCGCTTTCCTACGTTCGGTCCTCCGTAGGACTTTTTAAATATGTTTTCGCAGTTTCCAGATTTATCCCTGGCAAAGTAACTTCGAGCCGTGCGAATTACATGGCGCACAGCACGTGGAAACTACCGTACGAGTAAATGGGACGTGTCTCCAACTAATTTTTCAGATCTCGGAGAAATTGCGTGCAGTTCCTACGTTAATTTCATACATAATTACGTAGAGCGAAACTTCCCTGATGAGAAGTAATAGTCAGTCACGCAGCAGATGACTTACCAGTAGATTTCTGACAAGACGTGATAACGGTCCCAGAATTTCAGACGGGTTCTGGTTCTTGGGTGTTTCACCAAGATAGACAATGACCTCACCAAACGATTCCTGAATGAAGAACACACACGCGGTGCACACACACACACACACACACACACACCAGCACACACACACGCACCAGCACACACACGCGCGCACACACAAACACGTACACACACACACATACACACAACAAGCACACACACAAGCACAGGACAAATAGAGCAGTCATTTATTGTGATTCTGAGAAGCCACAGGCGTGATGTAATCTTGGCCGCCTCATAGCATGACAGATGGAGCACAAGCACTAAGCAGGTGAAAACGCTCCGGATTAAGCCAGAACACTTCCACATTCCTACCATACTCCGACCACCATGCAGGTCTTGAATTCACCAGTGCAGTCGTGTAGTCTGTACATCTAGCAGGTATGTGTACACTGCTGTCACGGCTGCAGTCAATGCATGGTACACCTAGTAGTACAATGTCATGATCGTTGTATGCACTCTCCATGCTGAGCCAGTATTACACCGCATATACAAAGTCACTACACACTCTCCATGCTGAACCAGTATAGGGCTTGAAAGTGCTACGTCACAGCATAGCAACAATTTCAAAAATTCAAAAATTGGATCCACTTGGATCCAGTTTTTGTATGGATCCAAGCACATTTCAAGCCGTCTTACTCACAGCAAGGTGATGTAACCAGTGAAACTGACTGATTTGGCTACTGGGGGCGGGGTTACAACTGGTGGCGAAGTAAAAGTCATTCCTGCATACGACATGAGTGGGTTGCTATGCACCCACATACTGAGGCAATAGCAAAGTCACACCTTAGTGGATCCAAAATAGAAATCTGATGTCAACTTACTACTCCCTGGCCGTTTTTGACGTCATCACTTTCAAGCCCTATTACACCACCTATACAAAGTCACTACACACTCCCCATGCTGAACCTATATCATGCCGCATGTATCAGCCCTATACTGGAAGCGTGCCTGCGACTCTCTCATTACCACAGTTGTGGCCAACGAAATGCCACCCACGAGTCAAATAACGCCGCGTTTCCATTTCAATGACGTCATGCACGCTCCAAAAACCAATCTGAGGGCTGCAGGGCGGCATGAGCCTTGGCGCTACTTTTGGCACTTGGGTTGGACTTTTTTTGGCCATGACTGTAGTATCCGCACCGTTTCCCATATCCGACCCTCATTGGAACTTTGTGTTCTGCACATTTTCGGCGTTTGCACGCGCCAAGTGCACGTACCCTATGACCTGATCTCTCGAAACTTCCCACGAAAGCTCATTTCGTGCTCCCTGCGAAGTTTCTCACTTCATGACATAGAGCAACAGTTTGTATGCATTTTCGTTTTGCAGAACCTTTGTATTACTGTATGTGTGAGTGGCACTGCAGTGTGTTAAACAGTGCGATGAAACCAACCTGAGCCCGGCTGTATAGTCGCTCAATGTCTGGCACAACCTGCTTAGCATTCTCCACGAACACCTGTATGCACACACACACACACACCAACACACACACCAACATATACACACACACACACACACACACACACACACACACACACACACCAACATATACACACACAAAGCACGCGCGCACACACACGCACACAGTCATCCACACGAACACAACCACAGGCAGGATTACCGTCAGAGCAAGAACAAAAAAACCTGATAGAGAGACAACACAACCAATGTGAGCCTCCAGTCCCCCCCCCCCCCCCCCCCCACACACACACACGCTCTTGCACACACACTCTCTCTCTCTCTCTCTCTCTCTCTCTCTCTCTCTCTCTCTCTCTCTCTCTCTCTCTCTCTCTCTCTCTCTCTCTCACACACACACACACACACACACACACACACACACACACACACACACACACACACACTTGTACTTGTTGCTCACTGCCAAAACTGGTCACGTGAGTCCCCCCGGGAGAGGGGAGAGAGACTCAAAAGGAATCTTGGAAAGATGACTCAATCGGTTATTGAACCGCCCAACGGCCGACACCCTGAAATCCCCAAAACGCTGGGTGGACTTGAAAATGATCTCACTTATGGGCTCACCACACCTCAGTAAGTGGGTGAGGACAAGGTGCAGAAAAAGGATTGACGGTATCAGGGTATCCGTCCCGGGATCCAACTGCAGTTACCCCTGCCCCCAGTGAAGGTAATACTTGCTACTAGTGTGAGTGGCTAAATCAGAGTGGATCTGATAAAAGCTTCACTAGCACCATTGATTACACAAGAGTTAATCTAGCCAGAAGCAGTCCATGGTTAACAGGTATGTATACTTCAAATAGAAAGTATATGAACCCTGGAACCAACAAAGGTGGCAGGTACAACATTACACCTTCAAGCGGCCGAGCCTGTTGGCAACAGACCCAACACAATCAGGCATAAGTGTATCTACCAACCGAACTAGCTGGCACACACACACACACACATATGGAGTGAGCACGTACGGCGAGGTCTTTGCAATGCGAGCTGTCCTTCTTGTCCTCGGCACGCAAAAGCAACAGACCACTGACAAGCTGTGAGATCTCACTAGACATCTGTGATAGGACAACTGTATTGGGACACACACGCACACACACACACGCAAATAGAAAATCACCTACCGAAATCTACGAGACATGATTTGTTAAACTTGCACATTGAGAATCATCAACTGAAAGTACTGAAAGCCAATGAGGCAAAAATTGTGCAGCTCACAAGTTTACGCAATGACAAAATTTAACTAGGCCACGTGAAAGTCGAATGGCTAAAGTGAATGAAAAAGCCACACAAATGGTCTGCAACTTCTTGAGAATCGCACCAAGCACATCAAAGAAAAGTCTCCTGGCTATAGCCTGCACATGAATGTCGAACAACGTACCATTACTGCCACGTTCCAGGCCGACCAGTTCATTGTGAATATTGCTGTACTCCTTCTTGTCAGCCATGTACTTAGCTAAGTAGTTCATCAGATTCATCGTGCCGTCCGTGGATTTCATGGTCTTCAGCTACATACACGGCGGCACACAAATGATCAGATACACCACGCGCACGCACGCACACACACACACACATGCACACACACAGACACAGACACACAGACACACCACCACCACATGTGCATACACAGACAAGTCCACACAAAGGGAAAGGATCAGAAAAAAAGTCAGTTGACCACCAATGGCATGTTTGCAAATGCTAGCCGTGTAGAACATCAGCTTGGCTACACATTGTGTTCATAAACTAGCAAGTGCCAGTTCAGTGCACAGCAGCAGCAGCAACAGCGGAAACAGCAGCAGCGGCATCAGCAGCAACAACAATAGCAGCAGCAGCAGCAACAGCAGCAGTAAAAGCAGCAGTTGCAGCACCACCACCACTACTTGCAACAGCGCTGTAAACGCAGGCAATGCAAAAATAAACTTACCTGGTCCAAAGAAGCAACCTGGAAACCTGTTGTCCAGCCTCTTCTACTGCTATTGGACAAGTTACCAATTGTCAATACCAGCTGTAGGGTAGAAGAAAGAGAGAGAGAGAGAGAGAGAGAGAGAGAGAGAGAGAGAGAGAGAGAGAGAGAGAGAGAGAGAGAGAGAGAGAGAGAGAGAGAGAGAGAGAGAGAGAGAGAGAGAGAGAGAGAGAGAGAGAGAGAGAGAGAGAGAGAGAGAGAATAGACAGAGGAAGAGAGAGAAGAAGAGAGAAAGAAAAGGAATGGAAACACACAGTGACAAAATCAGTGATACAGATCTAGTGTGGGTGTTTCAAGTTCTTGTTTACTGTATAGCAGGAAATTTTCGGACGGAATATATTTTCGTACGATTTCGTACACGGCCTCTTTTGTACTAAAATTAACTCCGTACTAAAATTTGTTTTGTTTGTTTGTTTGTATTCTTTATTTAGAGTGGGAAGTCCAAAACAGGCCCTAGCCTAATAACAAAGGTCCCACTAGTGAGGGAATGCTGTATATCTGTGCATAAGGATCAGTGAGTGTAACAGCAACTAGTAGGGAAAGAAAAAGAGAGAAGAAAAACAACTCAAAACAGGAGTTGCGACTTGCATAGGAAGAAAATAACGGAAAAAGCAGTGCATACAGCATTAAAAGAGGCTTATTTATCTGGTAAGCAAAAAGGCAAGAGCCATTGACTTAAAGCGATTGCGTTTTCTTTCTTGCCTGACCGCAGCATTGTTCATGTGAAATGATGTACATTATAGCATGCATACTGCTTGCGAACACGTGTATTTAGCATGCAGCATAGCTAGCACTGGGCGAAAATATAATCCGTACGAGAGGTCAAAATTCGGCTTTGTCCGAAAATATTTCCGTCCGAAAATTTCCTGCTATACAGTATCCAACTCTATACCGTAGGTCAATATGCCCGTGAGTGTATAGCGCTAACGCAGCAGTCATGATGTAGTCTCAGTCTAAGGGTTCGTTCTTAAACCCTCTCCGAAAAGTTGGAGACTCTCGGAAAAGTTCGAGAGCTGTTCTTATATCCTCTCCGAATTTTAGGAGGCTCTCCAAAGCTCTCCAAGCTTCAGAGGTGGTTGAAACTTGGAGATTCCCGCGGTTTAGGACCAGCGCATGCGAACTACAGCTAAAAGCATGTGTTGATCATGAGTGTACGCATTTCCCCTTTTGCATACGCACAATGTGTACTACATTCGGGGCACACGGCTATTCACGCGCAGGCACTTATAAATATGGCGTCGTTTGGTGCGATTTATGTAACATTAAAAGGGCCACACCATTTGTCTTCCAAATCAAGAGAAAACAGGCTCCTGACTCGCCGTGCGTATTTAGAAGTTCACGCGCGTATTCTAATGACACTTGGGGAAGACAACCAGAGGATAGTCCTCTACCTGGGAAAATATCGATTTAAGCTGGGAAAAAAATCGGGAAGGGCTTCTCGGAGCCGACTTTGTCAGCGACGACACAAGGAGTATTCCAGAACGAAGCCAAAGTCGCACGACACAGAACAAATGTTTCTTGAAGGAAAGGCAGTCATGTGAGGTACGAGCGGAAAGCTTGAAACAAGACGCAGATGATCAGCGTGTTCCCCGGGCTGTCCGGGCTGACTAGTCTCCAAAATCCAGAGGAAACCATGGCCTACTCGTGTTCTGACAATTTGAAAATTCAAATTTTCTTGCCATTGAAGCCCAATCGAGACTTTCGGCAGCCATATTGTTAAGTGGCGTGAAATCGCACAAAAAAACAGCCGTGGGCACTCAAGATCACGGCCCCTTTGGCGCTTCATATTGCTTCGCATGTGCAAAATATCTCCGAATTCTTGGAGACCCGTTCTTGAATTATACCACTTTCTTCAACTTCTCTTTTCTTCTTCTCCGAAAAGCTAGAGAATATAAGAACGCACCCTAAGTGTACCACAATGGACACCCTGCATTATCCATGGTCTCAGTCTAAATGTACCACAGCGGACACCCTGTACTGTCCACGTGCTGCAGCATATCATACATGTTTTTACTCACCTCATAGATCCTCTTGAGAGAAGGACTGCTGAGAATTGAGCTACACGCTACATACACTGATTGCAGTTGCTGTCAGGGAGAAACAAAGAGACAGGAGAGAGAGAGAGAGAGAGAGAGAGAGAGAGAGAGAGAGAGAGAGAGAGAGAGACAGAGACAGAGACAGAGACAGAGAGAGAGAGAGAGAGAGAGAGAGAGAGAGAGAGAGAGAGAGAGAGAGAGAGAGAGAGAGAGAGAGAGAGAGAGACAGACAGAGAGAGCGACAGAGAGAGAGAGAGAGAGAGAGAGAGAGAGAGAGAGAGAGAGAGAGAGAGAGAGAGAGAGAGAGAGAGAGAGAGAGAGAGACAGAGAGAGCGACAGAGAGAGAGAGAGAGAGAGAGAGAGAGAGAGAGAGAGAGAGAGAGAGAAAGAGAGAGAGAGAGAGAGAGAGAGAGAGAGAGAGAGAGAGAGAGAGAGAGAGAGAGAGAGAGAGAGAGACAGAGAGAGAGAGAGACACACACACACAGTTAGAGAGAGACAGAGACACAGAAAAAGAAACACAGACACAGACAAGGAGGCTTAGTCACATGTAAAAGAGATAACAAACGTGGGCGACTCACGAAAACTTCATGCCGTGGACAAACGATCACCATAGTGCTTCAAGAGCATTCAGCACACCGAGGACGCCCTAGCCTCGCCAACATTCTCCCTATCGTGCTTCAGTTTGCCATCAAGACCACGCACAACAATTTCCTTCGGTTTGGGGTTCATACTCAATGAAGAACAACGATTCAAACTGAAGCGAAATCATGAGATCCAAGCGATTCAAGCGATGTACTCAACTGCCATGCTGCCTTTGGGAGATTCCCTTGAATGCCTTGACAGTTGCAAAATCGCTGGACTGAAACTAGGAAAAAGTCGTGCATTTAATTCGTCGCCGCTTGATCAATTTTTCAAGCCACTGCCACACCGAAAACACCTTTGGAAAGTCCTTTCCAAGACTGTTCCAATGAGCGATTGATCATGGCGATGCCATATTTCGTTTCAGAGCTATGGTTGTTTGTACAGTGAATTATCCAGTGTGCAATGTACACAAAGTGACACTAGTCATATCCCAAGCGCGGTCTGGTCTGCACCACTAGTATACTCGTCACAAACCCGAAAAGTGTTTAGAGGGCCTTACCGGCTGAATGAAGTCCACAATGTCCTTGAAGTTGAGCATATACACCATTACACGCAGCTTGGCTGGATAGCGGGGTATGCGATAGAGCTGCATGCACAACACGCACCCATAACAAACAAACACACCAACACACCCATAACAAACAAACACACCAACACACCCATAACAAACAAACACACCAACACACCCGTAACAAACAAACACACCAACACGCACCCATAACAAACAAACACACCAACACACCCGTAACAAACAAACACACCAACACACCCATAACAAACAAACACATCAACACACCCATAACAAACAAACACACCAACACGCACCCGTAACAAACAAACACACCAACACACCCATAACAAACAAACACACCAACACACCCGTAACAAACAAACACACCAACACGCACCCATAACAAACAAACACACCAACACACCCATAACAAACAAACACACCAACACACACCCATAACAAACAAACACACCAACACACACCCATAACAAACAAACACACCAACACACCCATAACAAACAAACACACCAACACGCACCCATAACAAACAAACACACCAACACACCCGTAACAAACAAACACACCAACACACCCGTCACAAGAGAAGCACGCAAATCTACAAATGCACTGGACGTGCACCCACAGATTTTCTCATAGCGACGATAGCGGATCTGATTCTGACTGAAACAGATCAAGATAAGCGCCAGAAAACTGTATAATCCACACAACTGGCGAAGCCATGTGAATCGACCCCCACCCCCCCATGCACACCTGGTCTACACCACACGGAGTACATCGGAATAGGACGGCGGAGATAGTTATCTATGCACACCCTGCACTTGCTGGGGTAACCAGTGTAGACAGCACGCTGCTTTGATAGAAGCAGACACTAGATGCACTGGTACCTTGAAGCGAAATTGGAGTTACTTTACCAACCAGCCTTGGCAACTGGGTACTGGGAACCCAGAGCCAATAGATATACCAACAACCTCAGCCATGAAAACTATATAGTAACGACACACTGGCCAACACACACACACACACACACACACACACACACAACGCATCCGGCACAGCACAAGCTGTCAGAAATGCAAGTCTGCAAACACTGAGATAGGAATGAACTTTATCACGAAACATGGAAACCTGAAAAACACATCTAGGTATCTGGCACACAAGGCAGAACAACAGAGGCCAATATATTTCTCGTGACTACGAGTTTAGTATTCAAAAACACTCTCAGATGCTCTGCCTTGTGTAGTACGCTCTGCCCTTGTTAGGGTATTGGGCACTATTTTGCAGCAAGCACCTCAGACACTTTGCGGATATCTGGTGTGTAGTGTATAGAGGAGCAAGACTAACCTCTAGCATGAACATTTCTTCATCTGCTAGCGTCTTGGTCGTATTGTTCTTGTCATGACGCTCCAATTTTTGAATCTAGCACAAATATACACACACACACATCAACACAGCAATGGAAGGTCAATTATATACTTGCTGCTCAGAGTTTCACACTCAAACAGCTAAAGACAGCCAAAGACAACGGTCTGCTTGCTTTGCAGCTACTCCAACTTTCTGCCAGCTCACCTCAGAATCCGTGGGTATCATCTTGAGCAACTGACCAAGCAGATCTGCATGATCTGGTGATGCTGAGTACCTGCATATTAGAGAGGGCAGAGAGATAGAGAGAGAGAGAGAGAGAGAGAGAGAGAGAGAGAGAGAGAGAGAGAGAGAGAGAGAGAGAGAGAGAGAGAGAGAGAGAGAGAGAGAGAGAGAGAGAGAGAGAGATGGGGCATGCCGGCAGAGGGAGATGGAAAGGGGAGGGGCAGAGGCAGGAGCAAAAAGAAAACAGCCACAGGTCATTGAGAAGGCTTCTTTGCAAAAGACACCTAGCACCTGTATTCAATAGAAAGTTTTAGGAACATGAGAATTATCCCATGGTAAGGTACGGTTTGGGTGATTTCAGGCCAATCAGGGGCCGTTCTAAGTGGGGTACATTCAGCGATATACCCCGCTGGGTTCACTCGGTTCAAAGATATACCCACTCGGTTCATATGTGTCACGCCAAGAGTAAATAAGGGAGCTGTATAGTATTGGTCACGCTCTATATTCGGAACAGTACCATGGGATAAATGGAGCTTATCCCATGGTACGAAACAATTTGGGCCATTTCAGCCAATCAGCGACCGTTCTGAGTGGGGGTATATTGAGCGGTATACCCCGCTGGGGTCACGAATATTCCCCGGGTCACGCCAATAAGGGAGATTTTAGTGCTGGTCACGCTCTATTTGGGACAGTACATGGGATAAATGGATTATACCATTCGTACTCTGTGTATACCGTGTCCCTCATATTTTCCCTCGCGCTAACGCACTCGTGAAAATATTCGGCGGTATACCCCTCGTACTCATGGTATAATCCATACATAAACACTCTGTACATGTATTGTAAGCGAGAGTATTGATGTCATAGGGTACATACCAGCATGTTACGTGAACAGAGCTTGTCATAAAGGGACTTGTATTTGTTTAATGAGTGTGAGTACGCTGGGATCAGGGGTGCACTGCTCACTAGGCTACCATGCCCAGGTGGCTGTGTCACTGTGTGGGGTGTTCGCGGTACACATTACGTAATTGTGCAACGGGCTTATTCAAGAGGGCCTCTAAGTCAGAGAGATGGCAAATGAGCATGAGCATCCTGCCTCCCCCCCCCCCCCCCCCCCCCACCTCTCATTGTCCGTGTGTCTTACGTATTGATTTTCTCAGCCAGCTCTCTGCCACTCATACCCAGTTTCCGCTGGATGATGCCTGGAAAACACAAACACAAACGTACACACACACACGCACACGTGTACACACATACGTACACCCCAGTGGTTTGCGAGTAGCCTAAGCGTACATGTACCTAACAGATCTTCACATGAATACACTAAAGCTGTGTTCACAACTGGTGCGTGTATGCGTTTGTACGTATTTTTTGCTGGCTTTTGGGGCGTCCTGCGTACGGAAACGCGCTGAAATACAAATTCCAACATGTTCGAATATTCAGCGCGTATCAGAGTACCTGCCAGTCACTTTGACTGGCGGGGTCAAAAATTAGTACTCGAATGCGTCGCACGCCCTAAATACGAGTCGAATTGCTGTTTTTTTGTGAAAGCCCGAGCGCGCGTTTGGGCACACGTGAACCGCAAGCGTACCGCATCCACGCGCCAGTTGGGAACACAGCTTAAGTTGTAACAGATCTTGACATCAACACACCAACACATTACTCTCCGTGAGGTAAGTCCGATCATTACAGAGCAAAACATCGACACAACCCAATCAGCCCAGTGCATATACATTGTACAAGCAAAAAGAAACTAGTGAACAAGCTTTTGGGAGACAGCAGCTTTGATACAGCCACAAGAAGGACTAATTTAGCTGTAAGCAATTCCTATTTGTCGACGGATATACTCAATTACTCATGCATGTCGACAAATAGGAAATGCTTACAGCTAAATTAGTCCTTCTTGCTGGTGAATTGTTACACAACTTGACCTCATAAGGTCAATCACTTTACTACAGTTGCGCTCGGTTAAATCCGGCCCGAAGTGCAAAGCCGGCGCCGCGAAGCCAGCTCCCATTACATCACTGGCGATTTGTGTGTATGAAGTCAACTGTACGCACCTCGTGTAAAAGTTCGGAGTGAACGTGTTGCATGCTAAAAACAGTTCAAAATTTCTTTCATTCACTTCACGAAGTACAGCTCAAGATCAAGAAGAGATAGAGAAGAAGGACATGGCCATTCCCAATGTGTGGGCTCCTCTCAAGAAGAGAATAATTCCACATCGCTGCGAGAATGCTGACCAGCTGGTGCAGGCACTGCACCTGGAGTAGGACTCGTTGGCTCCTGACACGGTTTCCCCATACGTGGAGTCAATGCCACGTCGTGTTGAAGCCCTAATCGAAGCAGACGGTGGCCACACAAAATATTGAAGCCCTGCTGCTCTGGGTATGAAATAAACTGCTTCGAAACGATCTCCGTCTTCTTTACTTGTGCTGAACTGAACTGAATGTTACACTTGTCTTTGTTTGTCGCAGTTTTTTACACTTTGGTGTAAGCATGCATGCGTATGAGCACAGCACATGCACAGTTCATACGGCACACGTGCACACTAGCACTTGTACAACTTTGAGGGCGTCAAGGGCCGCATCAGTACTGGGCGCCAGTTATGCACTTCGGGCCGGATTTCACCGAGCGCAACTGTATTATACATGTACATGTACCTGCATTCAACAAACAGGCTCTCAGCTGCACCACAAATACATGAAGAAGGTGCCAGTATTTCACCCAACGGGCATGACGAGGACATTGAGCCTGTTCGTGGAATGGAAGTGCTTTTTGCGGTGGAGTTTGAGAGCTTCGTAGAAACATCTTTCATATCCATAAACTAATGGTTTTCAAGTAACTCAGCGCACTGAGTGAGTGGCAACTGAATAGAACGGCTGTCAGTTGACAACCCCCCCCCCCCCTTCCTTTCAGCTAATAAACTCGTTGTTGCTTGATAGACCTCATAACGATCAGTTTGGTCAGTCACTCTGAGCCTCGCTAATGACACCAAACAAGGTCGAGAACAATTGGCTGTCCGGAGATTGAGCATACCGTAATGTTGCGTATCAAAGCCGGCCGCATTCCCTTAGAAGCCAATGTCAGGACTAGGCTTCTATTCAAACCAGGTATTTCTATGTATGTCAACACTAAAACCAGGCTTGTGTGCCGAAAGTGTATCTAGAAAATCAGGCTTGTATTCAAAACAGGCTTCTAGCTGACATGACACAGGCTTCTAGCTGACATGACACAGGCTTTAACACAACATACTGCGGTAGGAGAGATTGTGCTAAGCATAGGCAATGTACAGAGCCTGATATCAGCGAGACAAAACATACCGATATTTCTGCAGAGATTGGTGTCGAGGATCTTGGCTGTCTTGACTATTTGCGGGGTGAACTTCTTCGGTGTCTTGTCTCCTCCATCTGAGTTGGGCTGGTTCTTCAGTTTGAACTTCTCCTCAAACGCCTCCATATCCCATTTCTGAACAAAGGAAGAACAAAACACACAGGCAGTCAGGGGCCGTTTACATGAGGAAAATAAGCCCGGGCTTATTCCCGTAGCTATGCAGAAGACGTTACTTCAGTAACGTCTGGCGCTAGCCAGGGTCCACACAGCTTTAATTTGGTGTTTGTTTGTGTGTTTGTTTGTTTGTGTCACGCCTGGCGCTATCCCGTATCTGTCCCGTACTGTACCGTACCAGCAAAGACAGCTGGCCACAATATTTTTGTTTGTTTGTGCCATCGACATGCCTGGCGCTATCCCGTACCTGTCCCGTACCATCAAGAGTACGGTACCATCAAGAGAATGAGTATATATGCGAAGTGTATCGGGGGAATGCATTCAGTGCAGTAACATTTTGTGTGGATTTGTGTGCGAGGCCGAGATCCCACTAGCAGGCTGGCTGGGCCGCCTGTCGACCAGCCCGGGAATCGCATGTAGGCCGATAGCATAATAATTAGGCCAAAACAAATAATGACCGTGTTTCCGGTCGGCCGACCGGGCCACTTTTTCCCAAATTCTGAAACTTTTTTTGGTCCCAAATGTATACAAACGGTGGCAATGCCATGTGTGCAAGTGCACTGAACGAGTCATAACTCAGTCAAATCTCAACCGAATTCCACAGTCGAAACACCAACAAGGTAGCAGAGATTCTCAGCTGTCGGCTCGAAAACCTCCGGGGTCGATACGAGCTAGAATAACGGAGCTGGAAGGACTCGAACTGTTTGCTTGATTTCTCAGGATGTACGAAAACAGGAATACACCACATGCTGTACAAGAACAGTGAGTCAGTCAACTTTGACATTGAACCTTGTCATGATATATGTGCAATGTACCTGTGTGGGTGCTCTTGTCCATCAATACCACAACGATTGAGGAACCAAAAAAAAGTATCCAGAAAAAGTTTCATTCCGGCCGACCGAGTCTCCTTTTTGAGGGGTTGCCGACCGGAAATAAGCCTATTTTTTTGTTTTGGCCTTATAACGTATATACAGTCATGTAGATGTATAGCAGCGAGTCTTATTATGTAAACGACTCCCTGCTGTATGGGGAGATTTTCTGGAAAGAAATACGAAGTAGGGAGACGAATAAATGCAATCAGAATGGATGTTAGTTGCCGTCAGTATAATAATAATAAGAAGAAGAACGCCCGTGATCGGCAGAGTCAGCGCCGGTCCCAGGAAACGTCAGGACAGACATCCCGTCGACTCCAGAACGACCGTGATCGGCTGAGTCAGCGCCGGTCCCATAGCTATGCAGAAGACGTTACTTCAGTATCTCATTGAAACGTTTTTGCAATACAATGATGTAGCTAATCAAAGGAAAAAGCATTTTCATCAGTTCTAACAACATGCACGATGAGCTAGGCAACAAAGCATAGCGCAGGGCCCTGAGCTTCCAAGCTCTCTCGTTCGCCTCGGGCTTATTTTTCAACCGTTTACATGACGGTTGTACGGGGCTGAGCTCAGGTGAGTGACTGCGAGTTCTGCGCGCATTTTATTTTTCAAATCGCACATGAACGCAGTGGTAAATGTTCGTGTCTGATGAAATTTGGATCAAGGAATGCCGGCTCAGGTTTCTACTGCCTTTCCAATTGTCACTTATTTTTCGAGAAGGTGAAGGATGGGCTAGGACCTTCCACTGGACAAAAACCAGAAGAAAACATACCAAGAAATAAATAAAAGAGACGCACTGTCCACGGCCACATTCTCTCAGGTTCACGAGGCAAAATCGAAAAATACGGAAAAACTCGCTTATAAGCCCTTCTTGACTGTTTACATGACAAAATAAGCCCTGGGGGTTGGATAAGCTCGGGGGTCAATGGTAGGGCTAGTTCAGCTCGGGGCGAGCTGAATAAGCCCGCCTGACCATGTAAACGCGCGCTCTAAAATGACTGGGTGACAGATCAAGGCGGGCTTATCGTACGCCTAGGGTTGAATAAGCCCGGGCTTATTTTCTCATGTAAACGGCCCCTCAGAGGCAAGTTGGAAATCCTAGCAACAATACAGAGCTGGCCTCAAGCGAAGGTCCCTGGTTCGAGTCCTGGTGGTGACAGTCAATGTTTTCTTCTTCAGACTTTTCCCGTTTGTCTCTTTCCCTCAACTAGTGGATAAACGATACAAAGCTATGTGATCATCTCAAAGAGCTAAATAAAAATGATTAAACCATTTCCCAGGTAAACGACAGACACTACTACTAACAGCTACATAATCTGAATTGTGGCTCTACTTCTAAGCCCTCTCTCAAGAATTCCCACCCATTTTCTCTAACCTAACCTTACCCTAAGAATAACGGCTGATTCACAATACAACTTTTTGCCACAGTTGTGACAAGGAAAGGCCCGTCGCTAGCTGTCGCGTACAGTCGCAAGGTACCGGTCGCAGAAGTTGAAGAAAGTTCAACTTTGGTGACATGCGACGCACAGACGTACATAGATGGAGTACAGTTTCTACTCTGGGTGCACATACCGTATTTCCCCGATTACTAGTATAAGTCGCACCCCATTTTCAGGTTTTAGCAATATTGATTTGATATATTGACTTCAGTAGTAAGTCATGCTCGATTGTAAGTCACACCCCCTTTTTACCCTTGAATTTTAGTGTACAAAGGTGCGACTTATATTCGGGGAAATACGGCACATAGTATTACTAGTACATAGGCATGTCGCGAACACCAAAAAGATTGTGAACCGGGTGTCGGTGTCGCAAGTCACTTGCGTGTTGCTTTACCAGCTTCATAAGCTCAAACATTTTGACAGCAGTCGGGCAAAGGACCCATTGAAAACAATAGTGCTCTAACGTTGTGTAGACCAAAGCCGAACTAAGTTCAACTAACTAAAAATGACAACAACTAGTCCATCGCACTGTGCACCCTAGCGTGGCTGGCAGTACAAGCACTGTGCACTCTAGCATGGATGGGAAAACAAGCATCTTACCTTGTAGAAATCTGCATCTGCACTGGCGAAGATTGTAGACTCCCAGGTAGTGGAGCGAATCACTTGCCAGTTGAGGGCCGGCATCTTGTACTTGCTCTTGATGACTCTCTCTGTGATAAACAACACAGTGGTTTAGTGATGCAGAGCACAATGAAATAGTGATATGCGAGTCGGGTGAATGATAGAAAGAACAACAGGTAGCACACACACACACACACACACACACACACACACACACACACACACACACACACACACACACACACACACGTGCACACACACATGTACGCACACACAAGCACACACACACACACACACACACACACACACACACACACACACACACACACATGCACGAGTGCGCACGTGAGCAATATTGTGAATGTGATGAAATTCTGAGACCAAGGGGTAGGACTGATGGCCGCCCATCGGCAGCAAAACACTCTGCAAAGCTGTGCATGATTGACGACAACACAAACGAACAAAGTGTATAGTGGCTGGAACGTTGTGGACAAGACTTGTAGAAGGGGCGGCAGCTGTGGTGGTGCTGCTGCTGTACCATTCCTAGTATGCTGTACCATTCCTAGTCTGGTGTACATCAGTACATTAGTACTTACTTGCTGATGGTGGCTTGCCAAAAGCCGGTGGAGGTGGAGGGAGAGCACCACCAGCCATGTCTGGAGGCGGCGGTGGAGGTGGTAAGATGGGCGGAGGCGGTGCGCTTGATATCGGCTTAGGAAGCTGCGCTGGCTCGTCACCCTTACCGGCGACACCTTCAGCTGACGTTGAGCCTGCGACTGAGGTATTAGTACTACTTTCAGGAGTCTTGGTCGCATCACCTTCAGCACCAGTCGGTTTGGCTGACGGGGATGTGTCTCCAGCAGCCTCAGCCTTGTCCCCTTCAGTTTTGTTAGTAGTTCCTACGTCAAGGGTGGGTGAGTCTTCACCATCGCTGGACACACTTGTTTTGGATTGGCGAGGCAAACGTGTAGGCTGTGGTGACAGTAGCTCATTGCTGCTGTTAGTCGCCTGGCCCATGGTGTTGTGCTGCCGATGCCATCATGAACAGGTAGGATGCACGTGCACACACACGTGCACACACACATGCACACACACATGCACACACGTGTACACACACACACACATATACATACATACATACATACACACACACGCACACATGTACATGTACATCAGAAAAAAATGATAGTCATGATCAACATCAACAGATCAACATGTGGGTACATCAATACACTTGTGCCATATTAGGGAGGTTTAGTCCCACGTAACGGATACAGGAACGTGGGTGATACAATGGACCCGCGTTTGCAATGTTGTGTTTAGTCACACGGAACAAACAAAAGCATGAAGCGAAAGGCCCAAGCCTGGTCAAAGACGAAGCTTCGAAGCTCATCGAATATTTTGATTTCGTGCTTCGGAAACTTCTTCAGCTGAGCACCGTCACAGCTCGAACAATGCGCTCCATTCTGATTTTCACCCACGTTCTGGAGGAACGTGGGTGAGCCTCCATACACAGTATGTCGTGAATCAGAAAACGTCTGTACGTGGGTCACTGAGTATCACGTGGTACACACACGTAAAGTACCCACGGATTACGTGGGACTAAACCTACCTAATGACACAGATTACCGTATTTTATTTGCAACAGAGGCACAGTCTGCAATAGCAGCACAGTCGGCAATAGCGGCACAGTCTGCAATAGCAGCACAGTATGAAGAGCAGCACAGTCCGCAATAGCAGCACAGTCCGCAATAGCAGCACAGTCTGCAATAGAAGAGCAGTCTAAGACTTCGTATAAGCGCACCTAGGGACTCTTTCGAAGAGCTATTAGCACAGTCTCCAGGCCAAGGCTGGGCTACATGTTAGGCAACAATACAAGCTCAGTTGCTACGTACTTGCAAAAGTGCTCGATACCGTGAGGGCAGAGCCAAACGTTGGGGGCTAAAGATTGGCTAAATAGCCACGGAACTTTGAGCAACAACGAAAACCTAGCCTTGTTCCTTTGCAAATGTGCGTCTTAGGGAACAGAATAATTATGTATATGGATCATGCACACAATAGATACCCATGCATGTTATGACAACGGGTAGGTTGAAATATAAAGTAGGCATAGTCACTAGTAGATGCTCAGCGTCCAGTAGAAGCTCAAGGTCAGGACCGTTAGAAAAATACAAGCCCTGAATGCCCGAGAGTCAAAATCATACACATACACATACACTCATACACATACATACCCTGAGAATGCTTTCATCCGATGTTTGACGTGATATGCGCTGCTCCGTTTCCTAAAGACAACGCAAATATTCAAGAGAAAAGCTGTATATTAACAAACATTTACTGCCATCTCAGTATTCCACAGCCTTCAGTCTCTCACTAGAACATACATTGTGCAAGGTCATGCAGCCACTGATATTGCAACAACAACAACAACAACAACAACAACGACAACAACAACAACAACAACAACAACAACAGCAGCAGCAGCAGCAGCAGTTACTGTGACTAACCGTGAGAAGTTCGATAGTTCTTCTCATGTCACGAATACTGTCCTCAAGCTCAGCTGTAGATGCACACACATACATACACAACAACATGTGCAGGTACACGTACAAACGTACACACAAAAACATTGACAACGACACCCCAAGTATGACACAGAAGACACAACAGGCATGCAGACAAACAGCCCGACAGCCAGATAGCCAGATAGGAAGACAGACATACGGACACACACACACACATTCACACACATACACACAGTACCACAAGGAGTAAAAAAAGAGATCGGGAAATCGCAACCAGATACCCACTTCTCCACATTGAATATGTTAGGTACCTCCGCCCGTACAGTATACCCTTTTCCCCTAGCTGGCCTGCATGCACCCGTACTACGTCATTCTCACCTTTCGTTCCGTTGACCTGGGTAGCTACTTGCGCACCCATGTTTGCCATAGCTACCCAGGCCCTATATATATTGCGTTGCCTCTCTTCAAATCTCTCTCTCAACTCTCTTCAAATAATCGCTCTCTTGAGTCGAGCTCTCTCTAGTCATAATGTAGTTATTGCGTTGCGTCGCTTTCTTGAGTCGAGCTCTCTCTAATCATAATGTAGTTGTTGCCTTGCGTTGTGTCAGAATGTCCAACAATGGCGTTCAACAAATAGACAACCGGTTAGTAGCGACACACACACACACACACGTACACATGCACACACACACAAACACACATTCACTCACACAACACATTGCATGGAGTTAGTGGAGACACACTCACTCCCATAACACAACACAATACTTTTGTAGAAGCGAGTCACTGAACTGCAATCTAGATTCCAATGACATAAGCTCACCAATCTTCGCCACATAGCGTGTTTCCGTGTCCTGCAGCTCTTCTTTCAGCTATACACATTGCATGAGAAATACATGCAAACACACACAGACACACAGACACACACACGCACACACACACACACACACACACATGTGCGGCACAAGCACACACACACAGGCAAGGGAAGGAAACTTTAAATACAGTAAAACCTGTAATGGCGACCACTCGGATATGGCGACCACTCGACCATGGCGACCACTTTTCCTTGTCACGGATGCATTCACATTCAAAACACCTCGGATAAGGCGACCACTCGCTCAACGCGACCGGCGACCACCCACCCGCGACCGCTTTGTCTGTGCTAGTCATGTAAATGTATGCATTGCATGGTGCACCAGGCATGGTAGATCTACACATCAGTGCAGGAAGTGTAGATGTACATGGTGCATGCACGACATTTGACAGGTCTGAGGACCCCAGGCACATGAGTCGTGCTAGAGTAGCATAGGTGTGTGCACTGTGATGCACTGATCAAAATGATGTATCACATGTGGATATGGTCACGTGACCCACTGAACCTGGATAAGAAGACCACCTGGCCACGCGACCACTTTTTCTCGTCCCTTGAGGGGTCGCCTTAGACTGGTTTCACTGTAGATACATTCATATCCTGGTTAATCACTCAGACGTATGAACACATTCAAAAGAGAAATAATAGGGGTGCAACGAGTGCCAAAATTGGGGACTCGAGTACTCTTTGAAAAAAACGAGCGAGTATTCGAACGAGTACGAGTATTTTACTGACAACATAAAACAACGCACTGCATACACGCTCGCACCACTGAACGTAGTACACCCGATACCAAGAGTACATAACCTCCAAGAGTGTGCAACTCCCACATACCCCGCTGTCCCGACAAAATTTCAAGTTGACGTCATTATTTATGATGCAAGGCTCCTTGCACCAGTGATTTACAACATGTGTACGGGTGTCAACACATCACACGTTTTTCTTTGCAATAATTTGTACAGGATCAGATGGGCTTTGGTCCACCAAAGGTTCTGGATTCGTCTGATAATCTGTGTGCAGTGCGCATTGCATCATAAAAATGACGTCAACTTGAAATTCTGTTGGGACAGCACCCAAAGTCGAGTTGCACACTCTTGGGGGGTTATGTACTCTTGCCGATACACATGTAGTCTTGAATGCAGCCTAGTGCGGGAAATAGTCGAACTACTGTCTTTTGCTGGTAAGTAGGGACACGCAATAATTTCGCGCTTGCATGGACTATCAGTACCAGTCAGAGTAACAGAAATACCTGATGTACATGCATACAATACACTGTACATAGGAAACTTAGAGTATTTTGCGAAACGAGCTCTCGCTCGTTTTCAAATTTTCGAGCGAGTGCTCGGGTATTCGATATACTCGTTTCACCCCTAAGAAATAATAAATGAGGTGCATGTGTGTGTGTGTGTGTGTATGTGTGTACAAGCAGAAAAGGAGCAGAAAACGTCTGTGGACAATCAATGGGTATGTGCATATGTGCGGGGGAACAGATGGATCTAGACAAAGCACCAGTCTAAGAATGTTCAGTTGAGTTTTATCTGTAGTTTCCCAAACCCTACAGTGCTCGCTAACACTGGAGATGAGAACGTTCTGGACAGATACACGCCAGTACATGCATGTTTGCCGGTGACCGTTGGTGATCATGAGCAGCCACATTCAAATAATCATCGGCATACAATAAGCCCATTACGCATTGCATACAATGCACGAGCAACGCGTGTGAGTACGCTGAGATCAGGAAGACACTGTTCAACACCCCACACCACCAACCCCAGGTGGCCGTGTGGGGTGTCGGTGGTACAAACGGTGGCATTGCGCAACGAGCTTGTTGATTTACAGAAGCAGCAGGAGCAAAAGGTTGACATTCATCAAGACGTCAGAGAAAATCAACTCACTCTCTCGTTTTCCATTTGATACTCGGCGGTATTGGAGAACTTGCCATAATTCGGATTGTCCAAATTTTCCAGCTGTAGATAACACAATGGGATGCAGGCACACCAAGTACACACGCGCACACATGCACACACACACGTGCACGCACACACACACACACGCACGCACGCACACACAGACATACACACACACGCATATGCGAAGCACACAGACACACAACGCATTGCTGCACTTAAATACTGATGTCAAGATATATCTGACAGACGAGTTCACAACAGAAATACAATACAGAGCGATAATATTAAATCAGACACCCACCACAACAGTACATTGAAGATCAAATCAATGCATTCCAAACCAACACAGCTAACACACGAACAACAAAGACAGTCAACAACAAACAAACAAGTTCAACGTGGCGACACTGACCAGTGACTGGACATCAAAGAAGTTGTCGACGTAGGCGTTGACCTGTTTGTGGACTAGGGGATCCAGATCCATACATTGTAACAAGTCCTGCATGAAACCATCAAATACAATAGTAAAAGTTTTTAAAAAAAATGCCAGAATGTAAGCCAACAACAAAGGTAACATGACATGACCTATGTGTGAAATTCTCAACTCTCCCTTCTGCTAGACTACAGCATGATTCACACTGCTTGTGTGAAATTCTCAACTCTCCCTTCTGCTAGACAACAGCATGATTTACGCTGCTGCATGCCCAAATATTCGTCAAGGATTTAAATTCTAAATCCGTGTTCCAAAGAGGTTCCAGGATAAATAAACTGCAGGACTAAAGTGGATTTGCCCAGCCTTTGGGCTGGGGTACGCTTTAACATGCATGGACGAAAGTGTTTAACCAGACTAACTGCCTTTCCTTGGGCTTGGATGAAACCATTCAGCGACTAAACGTTCCGCTTGCGGAGCGTCAATGTCTGCGATGTGATGCATGAAATGTGGCACTGGACTGGTACCTGTGACACGTGACGTACAATCTTGTTGGTTTCGGTGATATCAAGACTACATGAAACCCAGAGTGTGCAGCTTCGGACTTTTTCTTTGTCTGTCACGGCGAAATTCCGCGATCACAGCGGGTTTTGGGCAGATCTGAGGCGGAAAGTTAGCTGCAGTTGTGCAGAAAGAGATCTGCTTGAATCCTGCGCGTACGCACTACATCAGTGAAATGATGTAATCAGGGAATTTCGCCGTGACAGCAACCAATCAGAGCTGCACACTCTGGGTGGTATGTGTTCTTGGTGACATTTACAAGAAACGTGCGAATACTGTACATGTCCTGTATTGATATTGGTCACATGAGGCATGTCGCAAAACTTGAGCTTTCGGCGATTTCTGCAACAGCTGCCATGCGCTGCAATAGACGGCACATGACAGGTATTTTTCGTCACAAGTGCCGTATGTTGCACCGCAGAAAGTAGTATTGTGAATTGTGAAAAGCGTTCCGTCCTAAAGCTGTGAGCATAGTAACTTACGATCAGATTATACCGTACAATAGTTTGCAGGGCTGGATAATTTTCAGATAACCATCAAGCAATCGTATGTACACGTACACGTACACACACACACACGTACACACACACAGGCTTGCGCAAGTGCAGACACTTACCCCGAGACATTCGTCAAAGCCTAGCGCAGACAGGTCATACTGCAAGTGAACACGGAAGTTCACATTCGGTGCAGCGTGGACTATGATGTTGAAGAAATTCAGCAATGAAATCTGAAACGCATAAATACACATGCACGCACGCACGCACACACACACACACCAGATATGGCAAGAAAACAACCATGTATAGATTATCATCAGGAAACAGAAAAGTACCTGAATGCCAGTCTGTTGGCAAAGACAGCAGCCGGTTCCCTTCTAGAACAACACATCCCTCAATCGTTTGGTTTAAGCACAACAACAATTTAATTTTGGGGGAAGCACAGCCAGTCGCCTGGGACTGCTACCTAGAAACAAATATGCATGAATCCAGACTTACGAGATACGCGTTTGTGTTGACCTGAGGTGGATCCTTCATTGACTGAACCAGCCGCTGAAACCGGAAATCTTCACGGAACGCCTGGAACACGCCAACCACAGAGACGGACACACACACACACACACACACACGCATACACACACACACACACATGTGCACACACACCACATGTGCACACACATGTGCACACACACGCACACACACACACACACACACACACACACACACACACGCACACATGTGCACACTCACACACATGCACAAGGTAAGAAAGAACAGAATTATTCCACACATGGGCGAACCATCAATGCCCAAATGCAATACAAAATGAATTACAGACATGTAGTGGTGCATTTACAAAGGGGATATGTACAGTCATGTGCTTCTAGGCATGAGAACGGCCTGTGTAGCTAGCAACATGTTCATCCGTTCAGCACACTGTGCTTAACAAAAAGATATGAGTATTAAGGACTGAAATATTTGAAACCCTTGTAAAAAAATACATCAGCAATAACACCTGACAGGAAAATTGCATCATAAACAGGTGTCAACTTGAAATTCTTGTCTGGACATCTCTGCATGCCAGAGCTTCATACTCTGGGGATTGATGCACTCCTGGCAGAGACAGATGGATGTACAGTAAAACCTGCGACTAATGACCACCACTTGGTACATGGTGCCAGAGAAAGCGGTCTTTAGTGGCAGGTACTGAAGTAGTTCTTAGTTAGAGGTTTGCACTGCACAATCATAATTGAATGTGAGACCGTCTGTGCCTGACGAAGTGGTCTGTAGTAGCAGGCTGATTGCTTGTCACAGTGCTCTTTAGTTACATGTGTTGCTGTGCATGTGACCACCATATTACAGAAAACACCCGCCTAGGCACTCGACAGTATCAACAAAATTAAATCTAAAGTGCACGAACAGTCGGTGTGTCGATAAAAATAAAACAAAACATACCTTTCTGCAGAAGTCCATAGATTCCACAACATGCAGGTGAAAATTCTCCAGCATACACACGGCCGTCAACATCTCCAACACCACAATTTGTGTTCTGAAAGAAAATAGCAACACACATACAAACACACAGAATACACACATCAATAAGCGCTCTAAATATAACCGACGTTTGTTTGACACCCGTGTGTAATGCCGCAACTCGAAACTTCCTTTCAATCTGAAGACGATTCGTTCAACGGTGATGACGGAGCTTGTGCCGACACAACACCAAGTGATTCGCGAGAGAGTGACGTGCCAGCAGCAAGGAGGATAGATCGCATGGCTGTAGACTGGTGCCGACAGCATTTTAAATTCTCATAAGAACTGACTTCAGCGACGTAGCAAGTATGGTACAAGTATCCCGCATGAAACCGCTTTGAAACAGAATGCCAAAAACTTTGAATTATTGGTGCTAGTTATGGTACAGCAGGAATGGTCCATGTTTGCGAAGCACTTTGAAATACGAGTAGGTACATAATTATACTACTGTTTATATCTACTTCCAATTATCAAACTTAGTTGCATGGATGTTGACAGTTGTACAGCAGGCAGAAACCGATGCACGGAAAATATTCGAAAAAGCAGGACCTTCGAATAACACCACTTGTAGAGTTATCAATATAGAGTGGTTTCACATCTATCACATGTCAACCATACCGGAAGCCTTGCTGGTCCCGACTCTACTCAACTCCTGCATCTATGAAGCCTTGCTGGTCCTGACTCTACTCAACTCCTGCATCTATGAAGCCTTGCTGGTCCCGACTCTACTCAATTAATGCATCTATGACTGTATGAGTCACAAAATGTTGACCATGTTAGTTTCAGTGGGCGCTTTCAATTACACGTTTACACAATTCTGGAACTGGGTTTTGTAATTCTCGAATGACCAGAATGTACGAATTCCGGCCATGTAAGCGAACGACCGGAATTCACAACGCATTTTATTCATGGCATCACAAACAAAACTGGTCGTAAAAAGAGATCACGTACACCCTCGCGCAAACGTGGACCCAGCTTCGCGTACCGGTCCATCCCGGTGAAGGCTCCATGTCGGCAACAATATTGGGCTTCGATAAAGCTGAACGCGTGTGCGAAAGGACAACCCAAAATGATCTGGTCTAATAATCAGCTCCCAGTGGAAACTCAACAGCGGCAATTAGCTTTTCGCGAAGACGAAAGTAGCAACGACATGCAGTTGTAGGCCTGCTTTCGCGCCACACCGGCCAGGGAGGCTCTTCCTTGACTTGAATCATGCATGATCAGACCGGTAACACAACGAGTGTGCAATTCTGGCGCCAGAATTAGAGAAATGTCGAACTGTGCATCAACAATAACTTATTCTAGAATTGACTGATTTGTGTGTAATCGAACGTGCCCATTGTCCATATGCCATGATCACTTACTACTGGAACAAGAAATTAGTCACATGACAAAGATGTGAAACCACTCTAGTCTAGTGTAGCGCCTAGGGCATAGGATACTAGTACACTGCACTGTTTGCAGTGCTACAGGCAGTCAAGTCCCTGAGACTAGTTTAGCCATGAGGACGAATTTCACTGGAAAGTAAGCATAGGCTTGCAATCCTAATCCTTCAAGCTTTGAGGAGGGAGATGGAGAGAGGAAGGAGACGGAGAGAGGAAGGAGACTGAAAGAGGAGAAGAAGTGAGGAAGGCAAGATAAGGAGAAGACGGGTAAGGAAGTAAAAGAAGGTAAGCGAGGAGGAGTGAGGAGGAGTGCAGCAATGATGGACTTACTTAGGCTGAGTGTCAAAGAGACACGCTGCAATGTAGTTGATAGCAGACTTGTGTTCAGCAACGGTCATGAATCCAACCTAGCAGTCAGTAAACATACAAACATACATACACACACACACACACACACACACACACACGCACGTACACGCACGTACACGCACGTACACACACACACACAATCTAAGCCACGGGTGATCAGATATGTTATCGCCTGCCATGTTGAACACAAACATGCGACATTGGGGTAAACAGAAGCAGCGGCAATATGCCAATGTGCCAGGTGGAGCTCATCTGACTGGTGGAGCTCATCTGACTGGTGGAGCTCATCTGACTGGTGGAGCTCATCTGACTGGTGGAGCTCATCTGACTGGTGGAGCTCATCTGACTAGCTCATCTAAATGGTGGAGCTCATCTGACTGGTGGAGCTCATCTGACTAGCTCATCTAAATGGTGGAGCTCATCTGACTGGTGGAGCTCATCTGACTGGTGGAGCTCATCTGACTAGCTCATCTAAATGGTGGAGCTCATCTGACTGGTGGAGCTCATCTGACTGGTGGAGCTCATCTGACTGGTGGAGCTCATCTGACTAGCTCATCTAAATGGTGGAGCTCATCTGACTGGTGGAGCTCATCTGACTGGTGGAGCGCATCTGACTGGTGGAGCTCATCTGACTGGTGGAGCTCATCTGACTGGTGGAGCTCATCTGACTGGTGGAGCTCATCTGACTGATTTTTTGGATTTTTATTTATAGTGGTGACTATAACAGACAATTGCCTAATAACAATAGACCCACTCGAGGGAAAGATGCAAAAGGATATGAATAATTAATATAATAGACTACCGGTATTGGATAGGCGATCATGTTCGCATTTTGCATAGCTGAAAGTCATAAGTACTAGCGTGAAAAAGCAAGGCATTGGGGTAACAGTTTCTTAAAACGGGCGGAGTTATCCACACAGCGAGCTAGAGGGTGCAAATCATTCCACAGCTTAGCACATTGGAAGGAAGCGCCATGACGGGCAAAGGCAGTTCTGAGCATGGGCAACTTAAGAGTGCGTGATACAAGGCTGCGCGTTGCAAGACCATTATTTAAACTCTCGAACATTTGACTTAATGTGACACTACAGCGGCCTTCCAAACAGCGCCACGTCAGATACAGTAATTTCTTGCAATACATGGATGCCAAACGATCTAGACCAAGTCTCGCAAATAAAGGGCTTGATGGGCTACAAAAACCAGTATCGTACACTGAACGCAAAGCTCGCTTTAGCATTTGTTCAAGCCTACCTAACTGGGTTAAGGAAAGGCCAGCAGAAAAACAATTTGATGCATATAGAAAATCTGGCAACACTAGGCACTTTACAAAGGTTTCTCGGCAAGTCAGCGGAATAACTGGTGGTCTTGTACATGTACATCCACATGCACGTGTAAGTCGAAGTTTTAGGGGGGGGGGGGTGCACGTGCCCCCCCCCCCCCCCCCCCATGTGGGCTACGCGCCTGGGACACCACGACAGATACCCCTTCTTTTGCAGTGGTAACAATCATGTCGTTTACAGGGTGGTGGGGATTGTTTGAGGACATGGTTCAGTCTACTTTTCAAACAGCAGTGCTTGCTGTCAACACACGCGGAAAAGATGTGTGACAAGTCAAACAACACCAGCATCACCCTTACCTCGGAGTTCATCATAGTGCGCAGCAACAGGACAATGTCATGGGCTAGAGTTTGATAGTCGAAGTGCAAGGACAGTTCGCCAATGTCCACTCTCTTGTCCGTCTTCTTCTTCCGGCCCATACGTAATGTCTTCTGGCGTGTTGGCGGCGGTGTTCCCATAGGCGGCACGTGTGATGGCATTTTCTGCACAAATCCATAGAGAAAGAGAGAGAAACGGATTTTGAAAGAATGATAGGGTAAAATATTGCACGGTGGAAGTAACAAAATTGCCTGCGTGAGCAGCAAAGCAAGACATTGTACAGCTGAAAGCAATAACAAGCCACATCAGTAGCATCAATCCAAAAAAAGGACACAGAACTATGTGTCGCACATCTCTAAAACTAGCTAACTATAACACAAGCCGCGTTCAAGGGGAGGGTAGCTGCCTAGGTCTGACGGCAAGCCAACCTGAACACTGTGAACAGCAATCATTCCTGCGGAGAAGCGGCGCTGAATACCGGACGAATTCGGCGGCAAAAACATCTGCTGCATCTGTTGATTACAACACGTTGACAGCAGTGACAGATTAAGGAATACAACAACGATCACCTTTCTTTCTTAGCCCAAAGTGCTAGAACCGGGCTCCACTACTCCACTGGTATCCAGGTGGTGTCATCGATTGGAAAATCCAGATTGAGTGCGAGCAGGTGGTGTGGTCCGAGCAATGCTCGCCCAATGGGAAGTATGCATAGATGATGACGGTCACCTTCTTTGCGGGAAAAGTTGCAAGGTACAGCCCATTCTAGTATATGTACGGCTATGACTGTACAGAGCTCATGACCTTTTATGCAGAGCTGGTATCACTTGTAGTGGACTTGCCCCGCAAAACCTAACTGCGGGGAAATTGATGCATACGTCCAATTGAACGAAGCAAAGGTAGCTACCATTCTTCCTGTCAGGACTATCCCCATACCCCCCAGTTAGACTAGGCTTGCAAGGCTGATGAATTGACCGCCACTAATTCTAGTGGTGTAGACCACGCACGACCCCCCCCCCCCCCCCCCACACACACACAAATAAATAAATCAACACAGACGTACCCGTGTCATGGGCTTGATGGTGCTGCGACTACGACTTCGCTCCATCTTCGCATTGGCTTCCTGGAATGCCAAAGCAGACTTCTCATCCGTCCTGCACAGAATAGCGTCAAGCAAAGAGGAAACCCCGAATAAGCACCACACTACACAGCTTCCAGCCTAGCAGCAAGAAAACAAGGTGAACGAACGGAAAGAGACAGACAGACGGACAAATGGAGGCAGAGAGAGCTTACGTATGCTTTCGTTTGGACCGCTCCGTTTTGATTGCCATTTGCATGTTTTCCAGCAAAGACACAATAGCGTTGAGGCCGTTGACAGCTGGCGAGAGGAACACATTCAGCCAACTAGCAACACAAACACAGAATTCAGCAGAGAAAGAGAGAACGAAGGAGAAAATCGTCAACACACCATCAATATCACTGCCATTATCGTCACAACAACAACAGCAATGACCACATCTGCTTGATGATAGAGTGTGGCGAGACAGGCATGGAATTTGTAGCTTTTTCATCACAGGTCATTCAACTTTTTCCGCACATGTTTGAGTTACGCACACAACACATCCACAGCATACACATGTCCTCCTTGCCTGACATACCTAGTTAGGTAACATCAGCGGAGGTCAGCTTATACATGCATGGGGGCCATAAGCACCAGTGTCATTGCACAGGCTGAGAATATGCTACTCCGTCACTCGCCACTAAATCATGGTGAGATTGCGCTCTAGGGAGAAACCCTACCAAACTCATACTAACACTTCATCCACATCATGAGAGAAGGGAATTTTTGTTGTGACTCTAACGTTAGAGCTTCACAGAATATTCACAATCTCTGGGCAATTGGGGGGCAACTGGTGGGTTAAAGCTGGTGACTGGTGATATAATGTAAGAGTAAGGTGGGGAGGCGAAGGCAAGAACATTAGCACAAGCTGTGTATGTATGTATCAACTCATGAGGCAGTGGTGGTGAACTTGGAGCAACACAGAGACAGATCTCACACAGAAGGCGCTAGAACGACAGAGGAGATTTTCGAGGGGCAGTGAGAAGCATAGCACATGTATACATATCTCGAATAGGCACTTTCGCAATTTCTCGAGTTTCCATCAAGCTCAACTTCAGTCATAATAGAAGAATGTAGAGGCGCCGCTCCTGTCTCCCGAAGGTACAGCCCTTACACCTTCAGATTGAGGATGCAAGTACGTGTGCGTGCGTGCGTGTGTGTGTATGTATGTGTGCACGACTGTGTTAGTGCAGTAGTACGGGTGTGTACATGCATGCACTGTGACCAGTCCTGATAATTGCCTAGCTAGGACTGTGATTGTGTAAGTGTGTATATGGCATATTGTGTGCGTACGTGAATAGTCAATGCCAATGGTAGCCCGCCCTTGTAATAAGAATCATGATATTGTATAGGTAAGTATGGCATCAAGGGAGAATGTGCGCCTATTCTCAATGCTTCTGGTGACAAAAATATAACAAGTCAACCAATTTTTGACCGAGTTCACTCTCAACATGTAAAAGTGCTTTCCAGTGCTACCCGGAATCACCGGACCGTTTTCAGAATTTTCCCGCGTTTTGATGCCAAACTTGGCACGGTGTCCAGACCAAAAGTGGTGTTGCACGCATGCCTGTGTGTCTTCAAAGACTCTGGGTAGTAGTGGGTACAGGAGCCATGGGTACAGTACACACAAAATACCCATATTTAATATATAAATTGTAATTACACAAGAGAGAGTTTGGAAGCTGTGTTACAACTCTGAGTTTCACGTATTACCACGATCATCAGATTGTAATTATGAAATATAACAAAGTTCCCCGCACCCAAGTCGTGCCAAGAAACAGATATGACAGGGGGGGGCATTCGTTTTGATCTACAAGTTTATAAGAAACTAGTTTGTCGGTGGATGCGTTCCTTTTTCTACCCCAAACAGTAGAGTCTACAGTTGTGGCAAGCGAAATCCGACACTTGCCATAGGGGACAGCACCACAAATGGACATCAAGGATGTAATGAACTGTGCCTAATTTGTACATTGGAGCCGTACGCATCCCAAACAGATCGAAAGGTCCCAGGGTAGATACACACAGTTCATACATTAGGTACACATAAGCTATATAAGGAGTACTGGCATCCAGTGCCCTTTCATATTTGGACAAATGTGGGCACAAGCTACGCGACCCAGATTGTGAACAAGCCGGGGGGCCGGGCGCTGGTCTTGAAGCCATGTGTATGAAGTATATAATAACACATGGTACGGAGGGCATTATGGCTGATTTATGCCCTAGTGCGTAGCCCGAGGTCGTGCACCGTAGCCCAAGGGCCGCAGGCCCGCGGGCTACGGTGCACGACCGAGGGCTACGCACTAGGGCATACAATCAGCCATAATGCACGACGCACCATGTGTTTATTATAGTTCATACATGCCACGTGCCTAGTTGTAGACAAATAAGGTAAACATGGTCAAGGGAGGAGGAAGGTTCCAATCAGCTGTCATATGAATGAAGGGTCGAACAAGATCGGAAGGAGCTTTCTCCGTGGAATGATAGAACGTTTTGTGTCAGATTTACTTGCAGTTCCAGGATTATGTCTTTGCATTTTGGTGTTAGTGTTGCCTATTGGGCGGTACGGAAGTTAGCTGATTCGCTGCTGCTTTGGAGTTAACGTTGGCCGCAAACATCCTTGACCAAGTGGCACTAGTAAATAGACTAGCTTTGAGAGTACATTGTAAGTGTTCTTATTCGGAACAATGCTTTTTCACATACATGTACATCTGAGATTTTGTTCGCATTGCTTTCAGTTTACTTGAGGTCCATTATGTACACTGGACAATCATGTAGCTAGGTACATTTGAAGTACATGTACATGTAGATGTAGATGTAACTGTATATTTTGTAGGAGTTCGAGATACAATCTGATCTCTTCCAGATAGGTAACTTTGTGATGCATGTTCACCTGTCGACTTGTTCGTCTCAATTGACTTGAATTTAGTAATGCATGGTAATGACATGCTGTGTGTTGTCACGTTGTTATAAATTACTTCTCCTATGTCGACATTGCTAGTAAAATATAATTGTTTTGGACGGTGCACGTAAGTAGTTTCGTTTTGTGTGGTGTGTGCGAGTGCATGTGGTGTCCTTAGGAATGGTCCCACGTGTTCTATGTGCGCTGGAGTGCTGCCAATTATGTACCAGGTCACTGCCCAAAAGGCATGGCTTGGTGCATATTTGGCAGTGCACCAGCGTACGTAGTACGCCTGGGGTCATTCCTAATGGGCATGGGTACGCCGTACCCGGGCATTATCGTCTGATAATGCCCTGGTACGGTGCTGCTCTGATTGGCCAAATGCTAGCAACGACCTGACAACAGGCACGTGACATGTATGAATGCCATATAATACACTGTCAGCCAAATTCTAGTCAGGGTTCAGGGAATGTACTCCACTTTTCAATGTGTACGGATCTATCCAGCTAAAATGGAACATCTCTGCACTACGTGTGTGATACTAGGGGATTCACACAACGCGCAAACTCGCGTGTGTGGTACTCATTTTACTAGTGTGACCCAAGCGCGTGCAAAATCTTGATAAACTTGCTCAGGGGGGTCCTAGGCCCACGTTTGTGCTTTGCGCGCGTGTAAAAACAGCGAACGTACACTTGAGTATGGTACTCAAGTACATGAGTACACAGACGCATACGAGATTTGCACGGGGTCTGTTGTCTGTGTGAATCCAATGGGCAGCTTGTCCACTTTTACACAAACGTGTTTTCATTCATTTTCACGTCGTGTGAATACCCTATTATCTGGTACGCAGTTGCCATTTAAGTGTTTGTTGTGTGAGCTCTCCACACAGTGATCTGCGGAGCTCACTGACTGGCCAGTTTGAGCCGGCCTCATTTTCTCTGTGCTGCGCTGATGACTCCACAAAGGACGCTGTCCGCAGATTGAGTACACAGTGATATGTACACAATTAGGGTGCTGGACAAAGTTTTCAACTGGATGTCAACGGCCACAACTGTACCATTTCCCCTGTTTGCCCTAAATCTGTTCTATTCTACATACTCTGTCAAATAGGCAATACAAAATTAGCCTGAAACCGGTTCCACAAACCGGAGTATGCCAGAATGTGTTTCCGGTAAAATGACCGTGATTCACTGCAGTACAGGGAATGCAATCAACTGTGAGCTACCCCCCCCCCCCCCCCCGGTTGCACACTCTGGGGGGGGGGGGGGAGTATGTACAGAACAGTAAAGCGGGATTCACAGAAGCTTTTTTGCGATGCGACAGACGCGAAACCGGGAAAACCCCAAATCGCAGCCATGTCGCACCCCACGCAACTGCCGCAACTGGGCCATCGCAGAAGTTGAGCTTGGCTCAACTTTTGCGATGCGATGCGACAAGCGATTTGGCGTACGATTTTGACCTTTTCTACAGCAAAGTTGTACAAAGGTTCAAGAGTCGCCTATAAATTTGTACAAGTTGTAAACCGCGCGAATATCATGGTGACGTAGCCAAATCAGCAAGATGTTGTCGCATCACTGACTTCTTCTGTGAATGGTATTTCGCGAGTTCGCATCGCACGCGTCCGTCGCAGATCGCGTCGCATCGCGTGTCGCATCGCAAAAAAGCTTCTGTGAATCCCGCTTAAAACCTGTCAAGGCGACCACTCGGATAAGGCGACCAAAACCTGTCAAGGCGACCACTCGGATAAGGCGACCACTGCTGCCAGGACCAAGGGATGATATTTCTAGTCAAATGACCCTGGATACGGAGAGCACCTGGTTACAGAGACCACACTTCGAAGGTCCCTTGAGCGGTGGTCTTAGACAGGTTTCACTGGACTTGTGTTTACAATCAGTAGTAGCAAACAACTCACTTGATTTGGGTACTGCGCAGGATAACGTCGATGCGTTTCACCAGGGCACTTGTATCCTTGAAGTTCTTGTTGGCAATGACCGCCCAGAGCTTCTCAGTGAAGAAACGTGGTGTATGGGTGGAGTCCTCTTCTTTCGACGACTGTAGGGGTAAAAATAAACATACCGAATGCAGGTTGCAAGGATACTGGGCAACAACATACAATGTAAATTGGAACGGAACAGAAGAAACGTTGCAGTTTGTACGAGACAGAGAAGTGTCGGCTACTCTCAGCTTTGTAGCTTGCTCTTCCTGGCCATCCAACTTCACACTGCCTCCAGTACACAAAGTCAGCTGGTGCTTATGGAAATCCGACCCAAAGTGCACAGCTGGCGCCCTGGACCAGTTCCGATTACATCATTGTATGTGTACATGTGTACGCCCAGCTGCATTCATTCCATTTCGAGGGCGTCAAGGGCCGTGGAAGTTGAGGTCGCCAGCTTTGTACATTGTGTCGGATTTCAGTGAGCACGACTGTAGAAACAGGTGCTTGCCGAGCAGGGGGTGAGCGGTTCTTTCTTGCTGGGGTGCAGGGGAAGTTGTGGGGCAGTAAAGTTTTAATGTTCAATGGGCAGGAAATATCAACCGCAGAAATGCTCGGAGAAATCCATGTCTGAAAGACACTGTACAACATGAAATTTTAGGTGTACGTGTATTAAAATTTCAGTGCCAGGGACCCGACAGGTTTCAAGTGTAATGTAGAATTAGGTGACCAGCATTCCCTGCACATACAGTGCTTAGTGCATGGTCTAGTGCCTTTTAGGTGTAATTTAAATTTAGGTGCCTGGTTTCTCTACCGAAATCACCGAAATCGAAGTTACACAGAAAATACCATGTTTTACACGTACAGCACTGTAGCACTGTAGCACTGTAGCCCAGACAAAGTGGATACTACAAAGTAGATCACAAGATGTCAGTTTTCATCCAACACTACAACAGAGCTCCGTACTGTAATACTTATAAAGCAGAGAGGTTCCAGGCTGTCCAAGAGAGTGCTCAATACCGAGAGGCAGTAATACTTACATGATCACAGATCATCTGCCATTTCTTTTCCAATGAACAGACCTTGAGCTGAGCAAGCGATTCTTCCGGTAAATCAAGGGCTTCCTGTATACACAGGTGAGCAGCCAAGACGGGTGCGCACGCACACACGCATACAGATAGTATACACATGCATGCACACGCGCACGCACACACACACACACACGCACGCACACACAGTACACGTACCGTAAAGTACCACAGAGCGCCCGGTCTCGCGAGAGGGCCCCACCTTGACTTTACAGCCAGGGAAAGGAAAATCGAATGACCAGAGTTCAACAAAGTTTGTACAGTGTGAGAACTTGTTCAGTGTACTGAAGTCACGCTTAGCATGTTTTTTGTGTGGAGCTCAATGGTAAACTGAGTACGGATTGACTGCACGGCGTGCGATGTGTGTACAAGGTACGTATCATATGACCTTCAGACAGGACATCACCTCTGCAGCACAACCACGAAAGGACGAGTTGGTGGGGCGCTCTGGCGGTAATTTACGGTACAGTAAAAGCGGTCAAGGCAACTACTTGTACTTGAATAAAGCGACCACCTGTCCCAGAAGACCACTGAAACCAGCACCAAGAGATGCTATTTCCAGTCAAACGACACTGGACAAGGAGACCATCTGGCAACAGAGATCTCCTTTTGAAAGCCCGCTGAGCGGTCGTCTTAGACAGGTTCACTGTATAGACAGTATGCATATTGTAGCAATGGTCACATTATGGTATGTAGATGGTCACATTATGGTATGTAGATGGTCACATTATGGTATGTAGATGGTCACATTATGGTATGTAGATGGTCACATTATGGTATGTAGATGGTCACATTATGGTATGTAGATGGTCACATTATGGTATGTAGATGGTCACATTATGCTATGTAGATGGTCACATTATGCTATGTAGATGGTCACATTATGGTATGTAGATGGTCACATTATGGTATGTACATGGTCACATTATGGTATGTAGATGGTCACATTATGGTATGTAGATGGTCACATTATGGTATGTAGATGGTCACATTATGGTATGTAGATGGTCACATTATGGTATGTAGATGGTCACATTATGGTATGTAGATGGTCACATTATGGTATGTAGATGGTCACATTATGGTATGTAGATGGTCACATTATGGTATGTAGATGGTCACATTATGCTATGTAGATGGTCACATTATGGTATGTAGATGGTCACATTATGGTATGTAGATGGTCTACGAATTGCAAAGCAAAAGATGCACAACAGGAAGCACAATATAGCAATGTGTCAATTCTTTGGAGTGCATTGCTGCACATGAATGCAAACATGCACGCACACACCCACACCCACACACATACATCCAAAAGCGCGCATGCACGAGCGCGCGCGCACACACACACACACACACACACACACACACGCACGCACACACGCACACACGCACACACACACACACACACACACACCTCAGACATGCCCATCGCGGAAGCGATGATAACGAACAGCTATGTTAGACATAGCAACTTGTGCTGGGATTACACCATTCAACAGCTTGCAAGGCTGATGAATTGACCGCCACTATTTTTAGCCTGGTATCCACCACACAGCTGTTTGAAGTGACTTTTTCTGGCCAGTGAATCCCTATTTTTCATTTTTCCATTTTTTTACACACACCACACCACATACTCCGGCATACACTAGCTGACACACACACACACGCGCGCGCACACATGCCCACACGCATGTGCACACACCATCACCACCACCACACATACTCACTCACTCACTCCGACACTGGACTTATGATAGGAGTCGGATGATGAAGCACGTGCACTTCATGCGAACCTGCCTCTACGTCCACACACACACACACACACACACACACACACACACACACACACACACACACACATACACACAAGCTTGAAAGTCGTACCAGGATTGCATTAAAGCGCCTGTCAATGTCGTTCTTGCTGGGCATTTTAACACTGGACTTTTTAGACTTTGAGATGCTGTCAGACCTGCTTCCTTTGGTCTCCTTCTTCCGCCTACTCTTCATCTGCAAAACAAACAAGGATCACAAGTGCTATTAGCCATAGCAGTCTACAGAAGGAGGAGTGAGAGGATCTACATGTGCCTGTACATGTGTCTTATGGGGTATTCACACGACAGGCAAATCCACGTGCACCGGAAAGTTGCTATGGTATTTTACCTGTGAACGAGAAAAGTGCCTGAAAGTGGCTGAAACGTGAAAGCCAGCTGGGGGTCACTTTCACGATAATTGTGGCGTGCACGAGTACATTTACACCAAAAAGCGCAAAACAAGACTTGATTTTTACGCGGCTCTTTAGAGCATGATAATTATCGTATGTGTGTTTTGAAAATTTGAAATACCCATGGCTACTGGTCGGTGAAGCATTCAAAAATGCAAACGTGCCTGTCGTCGAGTGCAGCTGTGTGAATCCACACAGTCACTTTTCTCGTATGTCACTTCCCGTAACTTTCCGGTGCACGTGCCTGTCGTGTGAATACCCCATTACAGACAGTCCTACACTTCTGTAGAAGTACAATTTTCTTTTACAAACTTTCGTTCACGAAATCTTTCGTTAGATCACTCCACCAGCAGGCGTGTTACGTACTGAATTTCGTTTTTGGTCGAGGTCTGTCAAACCAAACGCTCAGGAGTTTTTTTATAACTTTGATACAAACTTTAGTTATTTCGTGCTCCCTGACGAATATAGCGAAAGTTAATTCCAAACAAAACTTTGTACTTGTATACAGTGCTCTACTCAGACATACCTGCTCTGGATCAGAGGGGAGGGGGTGAAGAGTTTTGATCACAGTATTGCACTTCAACGACATGACTGGGAACAGCTGGCACTGAGCAAACTCGTCCCGAATGTGTGGAGGTGCCCATTGTAGATATATCCACTGAGGGGAGTGCTATTGCATGGACCGCTTTCTCTTCTCCCAGCCAAGTCTTAAAATCAACTGAGTTATTGCTTGTAAGAAATAAAGAGAAGTACCTCTTCGGGTTCTATTTTGCATGGTGGGTCTCTGGCTATTTCACCTTTCGGAAGTATAAGTGTTACAAAGGAACTCGAATAATGAGTTGTTTAGAAGTTTGAGGGAGTTGAAATGGGATAGGCCGGAGCCAAATTGACTGCCACCACCATGACTCGCAGCAGGAACCCTCGCTTGTGGCCAGCAATGCTCCACCACTATGCTATAGCCATCGTCCAAGCATTCAACATGTTCTTCGGCTTTGTTTAAAGATAAATGAGATGCTAGCCATAAGGTTAAAATAGGTAATAACGTACGCGCTCGAGTTGTTCCGACGTAATCTTGCTCTCGACAGTGAGAACAGGCAGCACTCCAGACTGGACCAGGTCAGCAACACTCTGCGTCGCCTTCACCTGACCCATACCAACAGCGTCATCCATCGTCTCATCCGTTATGCTGGGCCTGCTGGAGTTGCTAAGCCGTGTGTCCGTTCCAGGTATACTACGCCTACACACAGAGAGAGAAGAACAACGGATGTCTAGTCTCATAATTATACCTATCAGCATTGTTTACTTTAGTATTATTATTATTATTATTATTGTAGAAGAGAAAAGGACATATGGATACGAGTTAAGAGTAACTCTCCATCACTGTAACATGATACTATATACAGTCAGAAAGTGCAATAACTAGGCACAAAACTGACAGAGTACTGAAACATTCGACGTCCTGACACCTAGCTTCAACACATCTCCGTAGCGCTAACCGACAGCCTTCCAACTTGGAAGGTTCAAGGTTATGGAAAAGACCAAAGAGGGGAAGGAAGGGGGGGGGGGGAGGCTTTGTCAAATATCGTACTGGTCTCGTCATCGTCCAGTAACAATCGACATTCTTTGTTCCGTTGGGACTGTAGCTTTTGCTCGTTTTCGTTGCGCTTGCCTTCCCCTCTTTGGTCTTTTCCATAACCTTGAACCTTCCAAGTTGGAAGGCTGTCGGTTAGCGCTACGGAGATGTGTTGAAGCTAGGTGTCAGGACGTCGAATGTTTTAGTACTCTGTCAGTTTTGTGCCTAGTTATTGCACTTTCTGACTGTATATAGTATCATGTTACAGTGATGGAGAGTTACTCTTAACTCGTATCCATATGTCCTTTTCTCTTCCACATTATTATTATTATTATTATTATTATTTGTTTTACATCGGAAGCTCAACAGTGCAGCTGCACAAATATGAAGAGG